TCACGTCCTCAGCATCAGCATATCACGTGACCTTCTCTCCTTGACAGCATGTAAAGAGCCACTCCGCCCCGTAGACCCTCGAGGCTGACTCAGATCCATGTCCCGATAGGCTGACACAAGGCCTATAGGCTGACACAAGATCTAAGGGCTGACGTCCGATCTAGCTGAGCTGACGCAAGAGGTCTACAGGCTGACGCGGGATTTATGAGCCATTGTCGTCTGTCTGAGCTAACACAACGTAGGCTGACGAGGATTCTGTGGGCTGATACAAGGTCTAAGCTTGATCTGGGCTGACGTGGGCTTGATCTGGGCTGACGTGGGCTTGATCTGGGCTGACGTGGCTTGATCTGGGCTGATGGCTTGATCTGGGCTGACATGGGCTTGATCTGGGCTGACGTGGGCTGCTGTGGCTTGATCTGGGCTACATGGGCTTGATCTGGGGCGTGTGGCTTGATCTGGGCTGACATGGGCTTGATCTGGGCTGACGTGGCTTGGCTTGGCTTGATCTGGGTGGCTTGATCTGGGCTGACCTCTGGGCTTGACGTGGCTTGATCTGGGCCGTGGCTTGATCTGGCTAACGTGGGCTTTGATCTGGGCTGATCTGGCTGACGTGGCTTGATCTGGCTGACTGGCTTGATCTGGGCTGACGTGGCTTGATCTGGGCTTGATCTGGGCTAACGTGGCTTGATCTGGGCTGACGTGGGCTTGATCTGGGCTGACGTGGGCTTGATCTGGCTGACATGGCTTGATCTGGCTGACGTGGCTTGATCTGGGCTAACGTGGGCTTGATCTGGGCTGACATGGGCTTGATCTGGGCTGACGTGGCTTGATCTGTGCTGACGTGGCTTGATCTGTGCTGACGTGGCTTGATCTGTGCTGACGTGGCTTGATCTGTGGCTTGATCTGGGCTGGGCTTGATCTGCTGACGTGGGCTTGATCTAGGCTGACATGGGCTTGATCTGGGCTGACGTGGCTTGATCTGGGCTGATGTGGCTTATCTGGGCTAACGTGGGCTTGATCTGGGCTTGGGCTTGATCTGGGCTGACGTGGCTTGATCTGGCTACTGGGCTTGATCTGGGCTGACGTGGCTTGATCTGGGCTAACGTGGCTTGATCTGGCTAACGTGGCTTGATCTGGCTGGCTTGATCTGGGCTAACGTGGCTGAACGTTGATCTGTGCTTGGCTTGATCTGGGCTAACGTGGCTTGAACTTGACGTGAACGTGGCTTGATCTGGCTGGCTTGATCTGTGGTGGCTAACGTGGCTTGATCTGGGCTAACATGGCTTGATCTGGGTGGCTTGATCTGATGGCTTGATCTGGGCTAACGGGCTTGATCTGGGCTAACGTGGCTTGATCTGGGCTGTGGCTGATCTGGCTGTGGCTTGATCTGGGCTGACGTGGCTTGATCTGGGCTAACGTGGCTTGATCTGGCTAACGTGGCTTGATCTGGGCTAACGATCTGGCTCGTGGCTTGATCTGGCTAACGTGGCTTGATCTGGGCTGTGGCTTGATCTGGGCTAACGTGGCTTGATCTGGGCTAACGTGGCTTGATCTGGGCTAACGTGGCTTGATCTGGGCCTAACGTGGCGATCTGGGCTAACGTGGCTTGATCTGGGCTAAACGTGGCTTGATCTGGGCTAACGTGGCTGATCTGGGCTAACGTGGCTTGATCTGGGCTAACGTGGCTTGATCTGGGCTAACGTGGCTTGATCTGGGCTAACGTGGCTTGATCTGGGCTAACGTGGCTTGATGGGCTTGGGCTTGACCTGTGGCTGACGTGGCTTGATCTGCTAATCTGGGCTTGATCTGGGCTAACGTGGCTTGATCTGGGCTAACGTGGCTTGATCTGTGCTGACGTGGCTTGATCTGGGCTGACGTGGCTTGATCTGTGCTAACGTGGCTTGATCTGTGCCAACGTGGCTTGATCTGTTGGCTTGATCTGGGCTACGTGGCTTGATCTCTGGGCTGACGTGGCTTGATCTGGGCTACGTGGCTTGATCTGGGCTGACGTGGGCTTGATCTGGCTAATGTGGCTTGATCTATTCTGACGTGGGCTTGATCTTGGCTGACGTTGGCTTGATCCTGGCTGACATGGGCTTGAGCTGAGCTGACATGGGCTTGATCTGGGCTGACGTTGATCATTACGAAGAGATTACAGGACTTTCCTTCGGCGTGGCCTACTGACCCTGACGCCGGCGACGCTCTGCTCTCCCGAGGACGACAATGCTGCTGTTTGTTGATGATGCTGTTAGGGTGTTTGTTACTCCCTTGCAATGCAGTGTTGGTTTTGGTGTGTCTGTTGCTTTATTTTCTTTCGTGTTTGTTGCTGGTGTTGAAATACTGTTATTGGTATTATTACTGGTACTGACAAGATCTGTTTTATATTGATTATTGTCATTTATATCTTATTTTCTTATTTCTATTTTATTTATTTATTGATTCTTTTTGCGTATGTGTTTTGGGGATATTTTGGTTTTGTTTTCATTTTCTCATATTCTGA